AGCCCTTTCTTTTCTCGTTTTTTTTTTTTAATTTGTTGAGCCTTATTACTATCATATTTTAAATATGTTGTTAATTTTTTTAATCACTGGACACATTCAATTATTGAGACATTTACTTTACGTGTGTATAATGTACCAAGTGATAGTGCGCGTTTTACGACTTTGAGCTCGGCATGTCTGACGAGTTTTCGAGTTACATGGCTTTCGCCACGTGTTACATTTGGGCAACGACTTTCTTCAAGGTACGACTTCCTGAATCTCACCGGGAGCAGCCATTGTTTCGTTAACGGTATGACGCAATGATGAATAACAGACGCGCGGCTAATGGACTGTGCATACAGCACAAAAACTGAGCGATGCACACGTATACGCGTGCATGCACTTTCGATCGTTCTTCTCGAGTTCGTACAGTCAGCTTAGCCCTTCACTCAGTAAAATAAATTTCGGCCCCGCGCGTACCGAGAAGCGGCGGCGTTTCTTCTCTTCGACGAAAGTGGGAATACACAAGGATCACCTGAATTAAGATCTAAGCATTTCTTTCTCGGCGCAATTGCATGAACATTTTTAAATCGTGACATTTTCAAACATCTAAAATTTATATGGGAGAGAGGTGTCCTGATTTTCTCGTTGCGTCACTTTCTCGTTCAATTTGAAATGAGATCCGGTAGTAAGATCTCATGATTTTTTCAGACCTGCTATGAAGGAATAATGAAGTTTAAAGTCTAAATAAATAAAATGGGATGAATTTTTAATATAACCATTTATTTATAATGAGTTAAGTTCTAAAAGTAACATTCTACTAAAAAAGGCGCTTCACAACTCTTCGTAGTATTTCATAAAAACTTTCATTACGTTACTCAATAAATTTTGCTATTTAAATTCTCTAAATTTTCACAAATGTATTATATTTAACTATTCCTTTTTTTTTATAAAAAAATTTCTTGTTATCTATTCTGTTTAATAGATTTTGATTTTGATCTTACTTTTGTAATTGTTGCTGTTTTTCAGTTGAAAAATAACTTGTGACAGTAAGAGCTACAAGGACTTGTATGAAGTGCCGGAGATTCTTTAACCTCCAAAAAATATCAGATCGGTTTTGAAGCTGCAAATATAAATTTATCGTTTACTGTGTTGTGCATTTGCCAATAATTGTCTCGCTGCATTCTTTGTCAGTTACTGAAAAAAGAATCTGCACAAAGAAAAAGATTTCTTTGGATTTAATAAATTTTATCGTATCAAAATAAATTTATTATTTGGAATGGTTTAAATAAACCAATGTTTGAATCAATAAGTGCGATTGTTTGAATTTGAAACAATGTATATCTTTGTCTTAAATACATTATTTGTTTGAACAGATAATGTCTATCTTCGGCATTCGTGTGATAAAATTGCACTGCACAAACATAATTGACATAGCATATAGTGCTATGCGTTTAATCCTGTTGTTAGACGTATAAGCCATTGTTTTCATAATTTTGGCTAAAAAATATAATGGTTGTTCTAAGAAGGCAATTATTTACATGGATCTCTATCATAACCTCTACCATAATCTCTAACCAATATATTTTGCCATTTTAAAACAAATAATTTATTTCATTGTTTGTATTCGTTGTAACCAAATAATATAATATATTACTTGATTAAAAGATATTACAAATAATAATGTTATTTCTGTCAAACAATAGAAGTTTCTCGAATGAAACAACAAAATTTTTATTCAAACAAATAATATTTCGTACAAGCATATATTGCTTCAATAAAACAAATTTTAGTCAAATAAATAGGAGTACTAAATTCAAAGAAACCTTTTTCTCTGTGTGGTAATAGCTATCAAATGTTGAGTAAAATAATTTCAATCAAATGTTCAATTAATATTATAAAAAATAATTTTCCTTTTCTAAATATTTAGTAATTAGTATCGAACGGTTAGTTATATTATTTTTATCATTTGATAAATTTACAAAATATTTGGAAAAGTAAAATTATTCTTGATTATATTAATCCAACATTTGATCGAAATTATTTCATTCAACATTTGATAACTATTTTCCGATTCTTTTTCGATGTATTTTTCGCTGTTTCTAATCATCAATTGCTATTACGTCGCGCTGTTATATATAACTTGATGATTCCTTTGTCGCTTCTCCATTGATATATCGTGTGTTTTTCTACCATCTGCATTTGCTTGCGCATCATTTCGTCGTGAAACTGTTAATTAGCTTCGTGCCGTAACGCGACAAATCCATATCGTCGTAAGTGTTACGTGCGAAAAAAAACAAATGTGCGTGACAATAAACTCATACCCAGCCGAGTGGATTATTCGTCTCATATCTAGCGTGATATACCATCTCCTGTTTCACCGATATCTCTCGCGTAATCGAGAAGTAAAAATACAGTCGTATATCCTTTGCGATGATGCTCGGATGCTTTCGAATGTTTTGTAAAATGTTTTTAAGACGCAGGTAGTGCAGTCTGTGTTTTGACTGCTTGCTACTTCTTTCATTTCCAGTTTTCTGGATGACGGAAAAAGTAGTTTCTGGCTATAAACTCAGATGACCCTTTTTTTATGCTCGTGCATTAATTTTTCTTCGGTTTCTGAAAAAGATCTACGGCAGAAGGGACAGATCTGATGATTTTTTTATCTTTCATTAATTTTTTTTAAGGAACGCACTATACGATAACAATTTTAATTGGTTATTAATCTTTGGCAAGATAGTGAAATTTGTCGATTTTTAGTAAGACTATATAGTCCAAAGATGGCATTTGATACGTACGCTGCACATAAAATCCTTATACTAGAATAGGGATGTATACCCTTTGTGATTCTTTCCTTCGATTACTTTTTTAAAACTTCTAAAAATTTATTTAGATTATTTCGTCAAATTTAGTTATAAGTGGATGTAAGGTTAGTCGTGTCGTTAATCGCGCACGGACTATGAGCATTAATATAAAAAGATGGTCATTTCTAAGTTTGTGAAAATCAAGGGAAAAGATCGAAGTCCTTGGGTGTACAAAAATTATCGATATTTGGGTGTACAAAAATTATCGAAAACATCGAGATTTACCCATCACTTTTTCGATGTTTTGCCATCGATGTCGCAAGATGGTTCGATGTTTCATCGATATCTTGTGTTCGATAGCTGTGTTGAGTTTGTTCCAAAATCTACTGCTAGAGACGCCAGACGAGATAGTTATAATATATATAACCAGATAGTTATAATATATATTTTACTTAAAGTGTTAAAAATATAACATTATTAAATATTTTTAGTATTAATTCTTATTGCTTATTATCTCAAATGTTTACATGATTTAACAATAAATATATTTTATAATCGATTAGTTGTACTCTATAAGCACAAAATATTCCTATGTTATATATTATTAAAAAATTAAAATAATATAATATTTTGAGAATATTATATAATATTTTTAAATCCGTATAACAAATCAAATTAACAAAGAATATATGTTAATTTGTATTGTCTCTGAAGAAGGCTCAAGTGAGCCGAAACATATAAGCGCGTTTAGTAGAATAAAGAAGTTTTATGCTTTATATGGTTGTATTATTTGCGCGTCGTCTTCTGCGCCTGACTCCTATTGCTCTTATTCTTTCCAATTTCTTTTAATATTTTTAATATTATGTCTCTTATAGAGTAGTTACATAAATTATATTATAAATTAAGGCTTTATTGCAAAGAAAGAAAAAGAAACATCGATGTTGTCCTGCAGCCGATATTTCTCTATCATCGATAGTATATTTCGAAGTTAACTTCGATGTTAAATATCGAAGTTAACTTCGATGTTAAATATCGAAGTTATTCTTTCGATGCCTAGAGTTTCAGAGGGAGAGAGTGGCAAACTGGTGAATAGAGTTTCAATATGTCCGCGTCATAATAGTTGCGCTTACTCAAGAATGTATCTTATAATTAATAAAATAAAAGTGTCACAATACTACTGTAATATTTCCATGCAACCATACATCTATAATGTATGATACACGAGTCACGTGATAGACATCATTTTATTCTTAACTAACTCCAGTGCCCAACTCTATAGGGACTCTAGCAGCACAATCGAACGTCGCTTCATTTAGTAAAGCACATGTGGAACACGTGTCAAAGAAATCATGGAACCTCTCATGATTTCTTTGATATCAATCTTACAGAAATTTTATATAATTATTTTCTTAATATCACCACACCTTAGAATGACTGTGTTCGAAGTTCCCCTCAACCAGGTTTGAATCTTGACTAAATATGATATTTTTCGTAATCAAATGTTCACAGTGTTTTAAAGATATTCATTAGCAGCATATAATATTAAATTACTTGTTAATTTGTTAATAACCGGGCACTCAGAGCATTAATTCTTGAACACCACACTGGGTTACGGTAACCCAATCCGTTTGAAAAAACGATTTTTTTAAATTTTGAAATTTGGCGCTGTATTAATGCTCTCACTGCCTGGTTATTAACATTTATTAGATTGTTTAAATCTCGAGAGCCCTATTAAAAACTTAATACAATTTAACTTGTGATGATTCAATCAGCTAGGATTGTGTTTCAAGATTGATTAATCGGCGCGTAGTTTGCTTGAATTGGAAATTGTAAAATTTATACAAACACTGAAAAAAAAGTACTAAATTTAATAAATATTTGTATGAATAGTACTAATTTAATATTTACTTATAATAAATTAAATATTTACTAAATAAAAAAATTGTAGTTAAATTAGTTCTTGTATTAAATATATGTACGTGTGTGTTAAATAAATATTTAGCTAGTACTATTCAAACAAATATTTATTAAAATTTAGTACAGTGTTTTTTTCACTGGGCATCAAAATTCAGCTTGACCGAACGGACTTCGTGTTACTTCATATTATATATTTTTCTAGATAATTTGAACGTTATTGTCATTTTATAACATATCGCATTTGCAGCCAGAATTCAATACTTATAAAATATTAGATTATTTTCTTTTTTTTTTGCTTTACAGATTCGGCACTTTAGGCAACAAGAGGGTTCCAATAGTCATGCCGTACAACAGGGAGAAGTGTCCTCTTCGAATCCCAACATATTATCCAACGATCAAGTTGGTCCTATCTTACTTGAGGTTCGTATTATCGAAATTAGCAGATGAGATTCATAGTTAATCATCGTCAAACAAGAATGCAAATTGCATCCTTTGTGGCTCTTTCAAAAGTCATGGACCATCACTTCGTCATTGCAATAACGGCGTCGTATCTCTTCTTTGCAGGCGCTAGACGGCTTTCTATTTGTTGTAAATACGGAGGGCCGCGTGGAGTACGTTACGGATAACATAACGCAGTACATAAACTACACGAAGGACGATGTGCTCGGAAAAGATATTTACAACATTATTCATCATGGAGATCACAACACCTTCATGCCTAGTTTATTACCCATGTCTTTAGGTACGTATCTTAATTGTTTTCACACACGCGCGCACGCGGCATATTTTTTTCCTATAGGGGGTAGCGACACTCGCAGGGTAGATTGTAGATAGATGCAATCAGTAGGTCATGGGTAATTTACTTTTTCAATTCATAAATGACCCTCTTCTTTGAGATCCGCGATTCGGTTTTCAATTTTTGATAAATATTTTTGATAAATTAGTTATTCTTAATTTTTATTTTTACATTCTTCAAAATCCATCTCTAAATTATAATTGATGAAATTATTATTACGATGAAAGATGTTTCATAAGAGTTGCTTTGAATTTCAAATGCATTTTCTTTGACGAATTTTGATGTCACTTTTTTCTTAGAAAAATCTTGTTTAAGATACATATTAATTAAATTTTTCAAAATTAAATTTAGCTTTTTTTGAACTTTATTTGGCACCAATCAAAATAATACAAGATTTATTTATATTAACGAAAATATTAAAAATCTTTAGAAATTAATATATACAAGGTGTTTGTATTCAACTAAAATATCACAACAAAAAAGTTTTAGAAAAATTAAGTAAAAACGTTATTTGTAAATATTTGTTTCTCAAGCAATAATTTTTGAGGTAATAAGGATTTAAATATAGCTAATTACAGACTATGTTTTGACGGCCATCTGTCCATGAGTTGCGCGTGCGATAGTATTAATGAGCTTCAGCGCGCTTATTAAAACTCAGATAACTGTCTACATGTAGTCTATAATTGGTCATATTTAAGTCCTTATTATCTTAAAAATTATTGCTTAAAATAAAAATTTTCAAATAACTTTTACTGTAATATTTTGATTTGTAAATTTCAGGATCTATATTACACATTCCATAATTACAAAAATTATGAAATTTTTTACTTGCGATTATTAAATTCAGTATTATGTGATCGTTTAAAAAAACACTTGAGCTTACACATTCTAGGCTGGACCAGCGAGCCACAGCCTCAGACCAGGAATCGTACCTTTAATTGCCGCTTCTTGGTGAAGCCTCCCGATGATAAGGACGAGACTATGGAAGAGAAGCAACAGCGAATATCGAAGTACGAGTCTATGCAAATCAGTTCTGCTCTTCTGCCCAGTAACGCTGATCGTCTCGAGAGTGGTGATGTATCCTCTGAATCGTCAGACATTGTTCCTTGCGTGATGTGCGTAGCGCGTAGAATACCGCCGAACGAGAAGCTCATTGGTCCCGTTGAGCAATTCACCGTCAGATTGGATACCACTGGGAAAATAATCGCGGTCGACATCAGTTGGTTATCCCCTGCTTACTCCAAGTACCTAAATAAGGTAAAGATGCATAGAGCAATGCCGCATATCATGATTATTATACTATTCACTTATTTCGATACGTAATATTTGATAATTATTGAACTCTATTATATAAAATGGTTGAAGTAGTACAAAGAACTCTTTGTACCTTGACTAAGATGAGAATTTTTTAATGATTTGATTGTAGTATAAATTATTTTTTAAAAGAAGATCGCGTAAAATCGCGCTTTGTAATCTCTGTTTAATGCATTTAGTAATTACAAAAGCATACTCTTTCTTTTTCGTTGGAATAATGAAATTAATCACATTTGTCTGCCCGCTGTTATTTATTTCAGCTACCAAAAGATTAAATATGATTGATGATGATAATTTAGCAATACATTTTCCAACAGCTTTAAAAAGCACCGTTATCTTTTTGCGTAGTTATAATTATCATTATGCTACATATTTGTCGAAAAACGATAGAATTAATTATTTTATTATTAAAATTATTTTATCAAATTAAAACATAAAACTCAATTGAATAAAACAATTTAAAAGATATCAAGGGCTTACAGTAAAAGCTAGTTGTTAATTGCTGATGTTTAATATCCTTCTAAATAATATACATTAAACAGACGTTTCGATAAAAAATTAGGACATTTTTTGGTGAAATATCTGTTTTAATGTAAAATGGCAAAATTTCCATCCTTATACTAAAATAATCTTAAAATCTACTTCTAACGATTTCTATAACAATATAATTACAATTATTTTATTTTATTTTTTTTAGATGTGTGCCTCCTTTCCATATCTCAAAGCCGGTTCCTGAAAAGTATTGACAAACGCGTTTTCTATTGCAGGACCTGGTAGGCACAGCGATTAAGGACTTGTGCCACCCTCATGATCGCAGTACGCTCCTGAAGCATTTGAATGATACGGTCCAAGTCGGAGAAAGTACGAGCGATGTTTACCGACTGCGCGTTAGTCCTGATAAGTTCCTTAAGATACAAACAAAGTCAAAATTTTTCAAAGCGACTTTGAATACGCAGGACGCGTTTGATTTCATGATGGCAACTAATTCTATTATTGGGTAAGTTTGCTTTTATCTCTTGCGAATAATTTTAATAGCATCACACAGTCATTATTATTTTTTAATTCTCAATTCTGAATGATAAACTCTAAATAAGTTATTACGTATATTGAAAAGTACATAGAAGTTGAGGTAATCGTATATTATATATTATTATATTATATTTCACACGAAAATGGTATTTTAATGAAACTTGATATTTAGACGAAAAAATAATTTGTGAATCGAAATAGAATGAGAATATTTCTTTTGATGCTAAAAATTTAACAAATTCTCACATAATTTCTTATCTAACTCAGAAAAGCTTATCTAATGAAGATATTTATTGATTTAATATTCTATTTTAATCATAATTTTTTAATTTCACTTAATTTTTGGTGGATTCTTGTGTTTTATATCAACTAGTTCGTTGCTTTAATAACCTTTCTTTAATGTATATAAGTAGTTTTTAATTATTTTAGCACTAACGCTTGTTTGAGCACAAAAGTGACACATTTTTATTGCATATAATTTAATATATGAAATACATTACGGGACAATGAAAAATTATTCCTAGAAAGAAATGGATTATAATAGTGAATTATAATAAAATAAAATTTTTAGTTATAAATAGCATTATATAATTTATGACTAAATTATAATTTTGAAATTTGTTTTATAACTTTTTTAGTATTTAGTTTGTAAATAAATTATATTTTTAGTAACAAAATTATTCAAATGTCTCTGCACAACAATTAAATATAAAAATAAATATTCTAGCTAGTTATCTCGATTTTTAATATGGTTAAGTTTTAGAAAAGAGAGAAGATGTAATTGCTCGTGTATATAGCTCACATGTTTTTTCGTTTATTTGCACCAATTTATTAATTTCAGATCATTAAATCAGGAAGTTATTTTATGTTTCATAGTATTATAGTACATACTTGGTTTGCAATAAATTTGCGAAGGGCACAACATTTGCATGTACATTAATACGGTTTCTTATTGGTGTTGGAGATCTGGCCACTCTTGAACAATTATCTTTCACCGTAACCTAGTAGTTATATATGTATTTCAGTTTGCTTTTAATGTTTAAACTCGACAACATCCGCCACATATTAACTTTGCTCAGATCTAACATTGTCATATTACACATAATTTATTTACGTAATTTATTTTTGACGATGATAACGATATTTATATGGATATGAGGGCTTTTAAGCACACATTTGCTTGTTACTGTACTCATGCTTAGAGAAATTCATCATGATGTTACTAGAGATCTTTCCGAGTAATTTTTATCTTAAATATTTCATTGAAAAAAACAAAACTTTTTATAAAATTTAGGATATATATAATTAAAATATGTATTGTATTCCCATAGTATTTTTATTAAGTTTTTTCTTAAAAGTTAAATTTGATTTTAACTTATTAATTATTTTTAGCACACACAGTTGTACTTATTTTTCTTAAATATTAATATTAAGAAAATTTCAAGTTAATCTTTTTGCAGATTTAAAGATTTTAGTGAATTATATATATTTAAACAATCTGATATATGAGTATTATGTATACTTAATGTTCATATTAATTCAGTGAGATATTCATAATTCATAAGAATTGCTTTACTTATACATGTAATTAATCCCGCATTTATGCATTTAACGGAAATTAATATTGATAGAGAACAAAACAGATCACATTTGCGCTAATATTGTTGCACGAATAAAGTTCTAACATAACTTCAGAACGTTTTCTGTTTTAAATTCTGTATATCTGAATCATGCTTGGAAATATGTGTAATAAATACAACAACATCTGTTCGTTAGTAAATCTTAATTCAGCATATACATCAGTTTAGATATTTCCGTAATAGCTTAATTACTTTCTTTCTAGATCATAAATGATTTTGAGACACTTCGTTTCTATTAAACTAATTAAATATGGTAAGAAGTATTACGTATGATAAAAAAAAAACTATTTTTGTCTGATGTGAGATTAAACTGCATCGAGTTTCCTTCTTTCCTCTAACTGATCAGTCGTTAAAAGAAGGCGCATTGAAATTTGTAAAGAGAGAAATTCAGTACTATTCTTCACACTTAAATAAAGATAACATATCTAGATAACATCTTTGTTTTCAATTATACTGAATATGTAGAATAATTAACTTTTAAGTTCACAATTCAAATTATAATATCTATAAGAATATTAAAAATATTAGATCTGAAATAATTATTTTTTATAAAAATGAATGTAATATATTCTATAGCAATTATATGACAGTTTTATTCTGCAAGTCTGCTAGGACTGATCGCAATACTTATAGGAAATTTCTTAAACTAAGATGTAGATGCTGTTCTTATTCTTAAAGCTACAGGATAACGCAAAAATAAATTACTTTTGATACTCTTGAAGAGAGACGACCTTGAAAAGAGAAGCTGATGTGGAATATTGTATGATTTTTATAAATTACGCTTAGTCTTAGGTTAAAGAGATGCAGCTAACTGGCAAATTCATGTGTTACTTTGTTTTTCTTGCCCATAATAGGGACAATGACTTAATGCCTATCGAGGGTGGTCAGCTTTCCAACAACAAAGTGTGCTCAGGACACTCTAGCAACCGTTGTGCGAATAATAGTAATAATAATAACGGTAATAATAACAATAACGTGGGTGGCCCGCTGATGTCTGTCGCGCATCTGAACGGTCAAGTGAGTGGTATCAGTGCTCGCGGTATGGCAGGGGGGGCAGGGGTGCCAGTGGCGGTGGCGGCGGCGGTGGTGGTAGTGGCGGTAGCAGTGATTCGTGCAACCCCCTAACGTCGCTGAGCACGTCAACTGGTAATCCGTTCAACCATTTTTCGGGGAACATGGACCTGGAATTCGAGCTCTTCCCCAGTTCCACATGGGACTTGGATAGTAGTGCCGGGTGGACGGATAGGCCGGAGTCGAGAGCAAGCGGGCCACCAAACTCACGACCACCTTCCCAGCCATCCCCAACACCACCAAGTCCACAGGGAACTTTCTCTAACTCGACGTTAATGCCTATAGACAGACTTAGCCCAAATCCGGTCTGCATCGCTCCTACCTTCAGTAATTCGTTCCCCTTCAGTCCTCTTCAGGAGACGACGCAGACGGCTACATTGAGCAATGCTGCCAGTAATGTCAACACCAACGGCGGTGGCGGTGCCGGCAGCAGCGGAGTCAGTGGCGTCGGTAGTAACACCACAACAACCGTCAAACGAACTGAAGAGAGTAACAAGAGCGGATGTCCTACTAGCAACAGTGGTGGCGGTGGTACTATGGACAATGCGACCACGAGGACCAGCAACACTGCCGTTACCGCCGTTGAGACTCAGAACAACAGTGTTGTGTCCACCGAGTCCGGTAGACTCAGAAACTTATTGACGAAGGGCCCGAGCGCTAGTGACGATAGCCAGGACAATACAAATAACGATTCAGATAATCAGAATAAGCATCGGATATTGAAAATCCTGTTGAACCAGCAAGACGAAGATGACTATCATACGGAACATAAAGTACGTACGAGCCCTAGTAACATGCCAAAGTCGAGCATGGAGCACTCTAAATCGTCGCTCGGAAATAACATGTTATTGCAAGTAAGTCGATCATTTGTAATTAATCATTAAAAATGTTAATATTTTAAAAGAGAATCTCTATCAAGAAAAAAATAAAAATAATTAAAATAAATTTAATCCTGGACTACAACAATGGATTATTTGAATCCGAAGCAAAAATTTTAGAAGATTGTACAATTTATATAGTTGGTACTATAAGATTGTAAATTGTAAATAAACAAAACTTTGTTCTTCTTTCATTTAATGTATGCGAAGCTTGCATTCTGTACTTCAAACAGAACGTTTAGAACTTAAATATTGTTTTCATTATTGTAGTTGACGGTAAAATTAAAAAAGTATATAAACATATTTTTATATATTTTTTTTTAATTTAAAAAATAATTTTTCAATATATTTAAAACGTTTAAAATGTTTAAACAAAAATTTGAATATATAGTCTTCTCATGTCTTGAATGGAGTTAAAAGTTAATATTTAAGAAATAAGTAAAAAATTTATTTAAAATGTTTAGATTATGGTCTATGATTTAATAATTCAATTTTACAAATTTTATTGAAAGTTACGAACAATCAAAATTGCAAAAAATTAATTTTTTAAAACTGTAAATAAAATCCAGTAAAAGCTTGTTAAAAAAAAACATTGGTCAAAATATAGCTAATTAATGAGAAGAAGAAAATGATCAAAATATGTTGATTTAATGAAGGACAGAATATAAAGAGATAGTTTTGGCCTATGATTTCATAATTGCATTTTTCCTTTTAAAGATAGTTTTATTGTTGGTATGTAATTATACTAAATATCTTTTGTTTTTCATTTATTTTATTATTTGATTGGAAGAAATCGAAAATTTGAAATAAATTTATTACTTTTGACAAATTTTACAACTTTTGCATTTTTCTGTACAAATTGTACACAGATCTCTAATTTAACAGATCTCCTTTCTTTTAATTCCCACAACCATTCTTCCTTTTTTGTATTTTAAGTTATTAAATGAGAAAAATGACGACGAGGACGAAGAAACACGTGCCGGGGCGAAGAAAAGAAATGAACTCCTGCAACAGCTGATGAAAAATCAAGACGAAGAGAGAAAGTTGCAGGAACAACAGGTACGTTTTATATTTTAATTAGAAATTAAAATAGCGGTGTAAAAGAAAGAATAACGTATCGTAAAGCGAATAAAATATAAAGAATAAAATGAAAATGATATTCCAAATATATGCATGATAAGATAAGAAATAACTTTCTATAAGATAAATCAAACCAGTTATCTTGGCTCTCAGCTACATGGACAATTTAGTATATGGACAAAGTATGATAATGTAAATCAATATAGACCTTCATTGATAAAGTGGATTTTTTTTACTTTTGTCTCCTTTTTTGCTTTGTTTTGTATCAAATGTTTTCTTTTAAATATGCGCTTATAACGGTCAGCAGAAAAAGCAGCTTTGCCACTGTTGTAAAATTCTTGAAGATTGGTTCTTGCTTTTGGTTCCCTATGAATCGAAAGGTGCTTTCCATTTGGCGACACAAGTCGGCACAAGTGTGGTTCTATCTGTATTGAATGTAAAGAAAGATAGAACGATGCTTGTGTTGACTTGTGTCATTAAATGGATAGCACCCTAAGGCCCGTATTCATAGTCAGACCTTGTACTTAAGGCTTCCTTAAATTTATCTTTAGATGTTCAGTAGCCAATGAAATAATTCGTAGAGCATCTGAAGATAAATTTAAGGAAGCCTTAAATATAAGGCCTGACTATGAATACGGGCATAAATGTAAATCAATCATATTGAAGAATTTTACAACAGTTGCAAAGTTGCTTTCTCTATTGAATGCAACCAATGGTTATTAAGGAATCTTTAAATAAAATTTAGTTTAAATTTTGATATTGATAAAGTATTTATCACAGTTACGATAACTTTTTGATAGTTTCCATGAAAGTTACATAAAAATATATAAAGTAGTACTCGTGACGAGATAAAAATCCATAGAGAGAACTTCAACTATGTAAATGTGTAACTGATACATGAGAATTGGGATTTTCTTGCCGAATCAATCTTTAATTTGGAAGATATTTCACTTACCTTTAGCTTTCATGCACATGTTGTCGACATGTAGAATGGATGAACGTTCTTTCTCTGTTTATTAAAGCCTAATTGGTTGGTACTATTTGCCTCTCATTCTTCGTTTTTCTATCCCCACTGCCATCGGTGGTCCATTCTAGACACAGAGAATGGACTGCGTTGGGACTGCGCAATCCGTATCTAAATAATATTCAAATGTGGTCGACAATAATGAGAGAGAGGGACCGTGGAAGATGGCCAATCTCTCTCTCATTCTCTCTCCCATTACACCGTTGAATGGAAAAAGATAAAGATGGCCATCTTTCACGGTCCCTCTCTCTTACTTTTATTAACCATTTTGACACACGGAGTCCATTCTCGCGCAGTCCATTCTCTATGTCTTTGGTCCATTCTATATGTCGATGGTTGTCTTGCGTTATCGTACACGTTATCAAATATGTACATACCTATCTTTACCCGTCTCTATGGGTTACACTAGGGACCCCCGAGTAAAGGTGTCTTTTCATGCTGACGCTTGACACTCATTTTCAACGTCAAAATAAGTTACGTGATCAAAATTGATGCTTGATATACGTCAATTTTTATATATTTATATATGTAAAAGGATCAATATTATATTAAACGCAATTAAACATTGTTAACTTTTGTTTTATATATGTCTTCTCCATTTGCTTCATTCCTCGGCTGACAACGATTCTTTCATCTTTTACAAGTTCCATTCCTTGGTTAAACGATGTTTCATAAATAGTATTTATTAATACGTTATATCAGTACGTTAAAAAACTAACAATGTTTAATTGCATTTAATATAATATTTATCCTCTTACATATATAAATGTACAAACTATTTTTTCACCTTGTTTATCTCTATGCACTTTATTTTCACTTATTGATTTTTATTTCTCATTTTCATTTCAATTAAATGTCACAATGCACTTCGATATTTGTCATTTAACACATTGTTATGCACACATTTTGATACACGCATCAAAACGCCTCCACAAACTTATGGACTTACGACTTCAACAGTGTTACTATGGGCTAAACTGATGAGAGATGGGGGGGGGATAAGACAATAAAACGTAAGCAGTAAGGAAGTCAACATGTTGGATTCGCTGCTTACGTTTTACCTCTTAAGTTTTTTTTGTGTACCATGGCCCTAATTCGTAGAAATAAAAATCGTGTTGCCTAGGGGTTTTTGTTAGTACCAACATTTCCCAATCTATTTTTTCAGGAAAATGTTACGGGAAAACCGTTTTTTTCCATGGATATGCATATCTAGAGATCCCTTCCTACCTCTCATCAGTTTAGCTGAACATGTGCTCTCTTCATATCCGAATATGTCTCCAATAGTTCGATATAATTTTTCTGCTTTTAGCACAATCGAGATAACGACCCTCTTTTACGGAGTCTTGGATTTAACACCACGTCACCGTCTCCGTCGCAATCAAGTGATCACATAGGTCTCGGGAACACGACGCAGGTAGGCCAGAAGAGGCCAGGAGAGGATGGTGATTTAAACATAGCCGTGAAGCGACCTGTGGACGGCTCGCAGGTGTCTTCTTCGGGTACGAGCTCTTCGAATAGCGCAACGAGTAAGCTATGGGAGAAGAATAAAATGTTGGCGTCTTTGTTAGCGAAACAACCGCCACAACCAACGAATATCCCACCGATTCCTGCGTCTGTGATATCGGCAACGCCACAGGTACGATTTGAACAAATTTTTTGTTAAAAGATATATTCAAAAGACTCGATACTAAAAAATAAAAAAAAAGTACGGAGCAAATGAGAGTCAAGCACAGTTAATGGAACGTAAATTACATTTTGGCTTCTCTCTATTCCATCAGAATTTATATAAAAATGGGCAAGGTTCTTTTTGAAATAATGATTTTAAATGATTTTTTTAATTAGGACAAGCTGCCTCGCTTAAAACAGCAGCCGCCACAACAGCAACAACAGCAGCAGCAACAACAGCAGCAGCAGCAGCAGCAGCAGCAGCAGCAGGCGCAACAACAACCGCAACAACAGCAGCCTTGGACTGGTGGCAGTTTGCAAGTTGGTAATAATAATGCGATTACGACGACCACGACGTCGGCGCGTCCTCTCCAAAGCCAGTCGAGACAACTACCTCGTCCAGCAACCAATACCTACCTCAGTCATATGCTAAGTCAGGTGAGCGCGATTAAATTTAATTTGACAAAAATTGTAGATTAACACTTTAACTTGTTCGCCACGTGTGAAACATTGCATATATGTACGAGTATATAGTCTTTTCATTAATGATTGGATATTCATATAGTTAGGATGAGAAAGATAAAACAGATTGTGTACAACTCCTTACTATACCGCGGGGCTTTAGCACAAAGATGGTCGTGAAACGTGAATCGTAGTCATAGGTCAACGCACAATGTTTTGCTCAATCTACAACTACGACTTAAGTTCCATGATTTAATTACGGTCATTTTTGTGCTTAGGCCCTACCGCGCTACATGTAATTGCACCTTGAAGGCTCGTCTACGCGACAAGGCGTAACACGGCATAAGGTCGCAGACGCAAGAGAATTGTTCCCGGTTACGGCGTGGCGCAACATTGATTGACTGGGGTCACCAATCAAAACCGAGAATATCGGGCCCGCAGCTGACCCGTTTGTAACAAAGTAGCTGTATGTACTAGCAAATCTGTCAAATCCTAGAGATTAGGTTGAAGGTACTACATTATTTTTCGTGGAGAAAGATGTCAAAAGTTTTGTTTCTGATGAAATTTGATCAACAGAAACATTCTTATTTTAATTCTAACGTTATAAACAACGTTAAGTAAGAGATTATCAAAGTTGCGAGGTTAATTTTCACAGAGGATCAATAGAAGGGACATCAGCTGCCGATATTCTCGATTTTGATTGACCGCTATCAGCCAATCAGCAAGCGTCCCATTTGCGGTTCTCTTATAATATAGAACTCAACTACACAATGTATTATACACAGTTTCATCCACGTATGAAATCACGTATAATACGTTGAGTTTGATATGTGCCTAACCCTGCCCGTGTAGAAAAGTATGGCGCAGATTTCTTGCGTCTATGCTTAAGCTTGCGCCTGCGTTCTTGCGCCGCGCCTCTACGCCTTGTGTAGACTAGAGTCCCTAGAGACTCCCTCTAGGGAGAGTCGAGACATAAGCGGTTCTCTTCGGTAATTGGTGTCGCCATGTTTCAATTTGTTAATGTGTTACTGAAAACAAATTACTTGTGTTCACGATGCTAGAAATCCGTCCGAGTTCTCGATCCAAGTCCTGAAATAGAAATAGTTGTACTTTGATGACTGTAGATAGCGTTAACACAATAGGATATATGTAAGCGACATACGTAATCCTGTTGTATTGGATCGGAAAATCATTGGCTGCGTTCAGCAGAGAAAGCAGCTTTGCAACTGTTGTAAAATTCTTCAATATGATTGGTTTATACGTTTAGATCTGTAAGGAACCAAAAGCAAGAACCAATCGTATTGAAGAATTTTACAACAGTTGCAAAGCTGCTTTCTCTGCTGAAC